CACTGTGCTCTCCTTCCCCACAGACAGCTCCACCAAACAGACCCTGCAAGTGCCCGGCTCCCGTGGAGCTGCCCCCAGGCCCCCGGTGCCGGCCAGCAACAGCCGCCCTCAGGACGATGCCGACAGCAGCCGGGGGTCCCCGCCGGAGCTGCCGCGCACGCAGAGACCCTCCCTGCCCGACCTGTCCCGGCCCGGCACCGCCGGCAGCACCGGCATGAAGCACAGCTCCTCGGCCCCGCCGCCCCCGCCACCGGGACGCCGCGCCGCTGCCCCCCCGGCCCCACCTCCGGCACACGCCAAGGCCTCGCCCTACAACCGGGAGAAGCCGCTGCCGCCCACCCCGGGACAGCGCCCGCCCGGCAGCAGGGACGGACCCCCCGCCCCGCCGCCCATCAAGCCCCCTCCCTCCCCAGTCAGCCTCCGGACGGGGTCGGGGGCTCAGGGCCAGTCTCTCGCCCCCCCGCCGCCCCCTTACCGGCAACCGCCCGGTGTCCCCAACGGCCCCTCCAGCCCCGGCAGCGAGTCGGCCCCGGAGCTGCCGCAGAGACACAACTCCTTGCACAGGAAGGCGCCGGGCCCGTTGCGGGGTCTGGCCCCCCCGCCGCCCACTGCTGCCTCCCCATCCCTGCAGAGCAGCCGCCCCCCCCCGCCGGCCAGAGACCCCCCGAGCCGTGGAGCAGGTAAGAGCCGTTTGCTCCGGGGTGCCCGGGGTGGGCCGTGGGGGGTCTCTCGGTGGTTGGGGGCTTGTGAGAGGTGACTGGGAAGAGTCAGCTCTGAGGCACAGTGAGGTTCCACAGAAAGGTTGATTAAACATTGGAAGCGACTGCCCAGGGAGGTGGAGTCACTATCCCTGAAGGTGTTCAGGGAGTCGTGGCACTCAGTGCCCTGGTCTGGTTGACAAGGTGGGGATCGGTCACAGGTTGGACTCGATGATCTTGGAGGTGTTTTCCAGCCTAAGTGAGTCTGTGATTCTGCTCGTGGTGTAGGGGCTGAGCAGGGCAGTGGCTGCAGTGTCATGTTTAACACATGTCCTTGGTCATGTCCCATGCCCATCCAGCTCCTCCCAGCCTGATGGTGGTGGTGGGTTTTGTCTGGGCAGCTCCTGCCCACGAGGTCCATGTGCTTTCCTGGGGTGGGACGTGAGAACATGGCAGAGCCAGAGCTGCATAGTCTGTCTCTGCTCCCCTGAGCTTCCGAAATGTCAGTGGAGGGATGACAAAAAGCCGTGGCAGAGCAGGGAGAAGCCTTTCCTGTGGTGGTGCAGCCCTCGAGAGCGTGTCCCCGTGGCCGGGGCTGGCGCTGGCTGTGCCCTGGTGCCCCCCCCGTGCGCTCCTGGGCTCCGTGTCCAGACCACAGCTCCCGCCTGGGCCCCGGCCAAGCCGCTCTGTCCTCCCGGCCCTGCCAGAATCCCTCCTTGGAGCTACGGCTGGGGAGCTGCGCTGTCAGCCCGGCTGTAATTAGGCTAATGAGGAGCATGAACTGCCACCGAGCCTCCACGGGAGGCTGAGCAGGAGCGAGAGGTGGGTCAGAGGGGCCGGGGGTCCTGTCACCGCCTCGGTGGCACTGCAGACGTGGCCTCCAGCCCTGGCAGGCAGCATCTTGGCTCCACGGGGAGCTGCTGCCCTCAGACTCCGGGATGTGCTGGCTCATAGCTGCTCCTTGGATCCCCTCCGTGGAGGGACCTGTGCCCAGCATGGGCTGGGAGTGTGCAGGGCCAGAGCAGCCCCCTGCGGTGGGTGGTGAGCTGGGGGGGCACCGGGCTGGCCGGTCCCTGCCCTGCAGCTGCTGGAGGAATGAGGAATGCAGATGTCAGGAGCGAGCAGGAAATCTCTGGGCACGCATAGGAGCATCCCTGGGCCGCGGTCTGGCCCAGCCGCCGGCCTGGAATGCTCCAGAGGGATGTCCTTGGGTTTGCCCCGGGAATGCCGCATTTGCTGACCCCGCTCTCCCCTGCAGCGCCCCCACCCCCCCCGCCGATGCCCGCGGACCGGGGGCGCGGTGGCCCCCCCCCCCCCCCCCCCTTCCGGACTCCCCGGCCCCGCCGAGCCCCCCAGCCGGGGGAAGCCCCCGCCGCCGCCCACCAGGACCCCGGCCGGGCCACCGCCACCACCGCCGCCCGTGCGGAACGGGCACCGCGACTCCATCTCCACCGTCAGAGCATTCCTGGGTGAGTGGGACCCCCCGCATGGATCCCCCTCGGAGCAGAGCCCTGTGGCTTTGGCCAAGCTCCCCCAGAGTCCCCCTCCCTCACCTGCCTCTTCTGCCCCTTTTCCACAGATGACTTTGAATCCAAATACTCCTTTCATCCCGTTGAAGACTTCCCAGCCCCAGAGGAATATAAGTACTTCCAGAGAATCTACCCCAGCAAAACAAACAGAGGTGAGGAGAAGGGGGGGTTGCATGTGAGGAGGAGGAGGAAGGGGTGTTCTGCAGTACTTGTCCCCTCCTGTGCCCTTGGGGTCGTGTTTGTCCCCGTGCAGGGTGAATGGTGCAGTGGCCTTGCCCCAGGCCCTGCCCATGTTCCTGGGGGTGCCAAGCCCCTTTCCTGGGGGTGCTGAGCTCTGAGGGCAGCTTGCTGTGCTTCAGGGGAAGAGGGGGCTGGGAATTTGGGCTGTGCAGATGTCCCATCCCACCTGCTGGGAAATGCCGCAGGGCTCGTTCCTGCTTTCGTTGGTGCCAGAGGGGGATCCTGAAGGACCCTGCGGCCGGAGCGGGGGCTGGACAGGGGCCGGGGGGCACAGCCCCTCTGTGTATCCCGGGATTGGCCCTGAGCGCCGGCGCTCGGACCCGGCAGAGCTCAAAGTGCCCTTGGTGCCGCGCGTCAGCGCTGCGGATCCCGGCGGAGACTCCGGGGAGAATGGGATGCTCGTTTATTTTTAGAGCCATGAATGTTTAATGCGGGTTTGAAAAGCCCCGAGCTCGGTGCGGCTGCTGCCAGGCGCAAATCCCAGGCTCCAGATCTCCGCGGGGAGGTCGGGGAGGGAGGGGGGGGGCCAGCAGCTGGCGCGGGGGTGTGGAGGAGGGAAAGCAGACGTGCCGGATCCGGCTCTGCTGCGGAGCTCCCGCTTCCATCCTCCTTCCTTGTCTTGCAGCTACACGTGGGGCCCCCCCTTTGCCCCCCATCCCCAGGTGAAACCGGGCTGTGCAGGTGGATTGTTCCGGAGCAGACACACGGACCTCCTTCCCCTCCCTCAGCCGGCCCCCCCAGCTCCCAGCCCCCCGGATCCTGCATGGCACACTCCCGGCCTCTCTGCCTTCCCCAGGACCAGCGGATCTGCCCGGCCCAGCGCCCTCCGTCAGCCTCCCCCTCATCTATGCACCCCTCGGGACTCATGGCAAGCCTGGATGGGTCCATCCCCTTGTTCCTCCTCATGGATCCCGGGCCGGGATCAGCCTGGGAGCCGGGCACGGGACTCTGAGCTGAGCCGTGTGCCGGCTGTGGGGACCAGGGGGGCTGGTGGAGAGGGGCGGCGGATGGACCTGCTGCGAGACCCCCGGAGCGAGGGGGAGCAGGGACAGGCCAG